CATACACATCCCCATCTAGAACTCTGTTATAGGCACATATACATCCCCCTCTAGAACTCTGCTATAGGTACGTACATATACATCCTCCTCTAGAACTCTGCTACAGGGACATACACATCCCCATCTAGAACTCTGTTATAGGCACATATACATCCCCCTCTAGAACTCTGCTATAGGTACGTACATATACATCCTCCTCTAGAACTCTGCTACAGGGACATACACATCCCCATCTAGAACTCTGTTATAGGCACATATACATCCCCCTCTAGAACTCTGCTATAGGTACGTACATATACATCCTCCTCTAGAACTCTGCTACAGGGACATACACATCCCCATCTAGAACTCTGTTATAGGCACATATACATCCCCCTCTAGGAATCTGCTATAAGCACATATACATCCCTATACAACAGTGCCATGGTCACATATATATCCCCCTATACAACACTGTCATGGGCATATATATATATATATGGGACACACTATATGATATTTGTTTTAGCCTTGAAAAGTGTGATATTAATCACATATGAGTTGGGAATTTTTTACTACTATCATAAACATTTCCCTTCAAACTTCCCAGATGTTGCTGTTTTCAAGTTTCAGTTATAAATAATGAAATATTAAAACACGTGTCTTTTTATTTTTAGTATATATCTAAAAAATATACGTGTCAGTGAAAGAGTTGGAATCAAATATGAAACCTTACAGTAAAGAAAATAATTTTAACGTTTAAGTTTTTAGAGAAACTTTTTCATGAATGTTTATCCGTTTTTAGAGATCACGACCTCTTCATCACGTGGAACACAAGAAGTGAATAAGTTCCACGTTGTTTCGGGACGCCAGATCTTATCCTTAACTTCAAGAGGAGACGACTTCAATACCACATCTGCGTATGAACCAACAACGTCCTCTAGCGGCAATGATACCTGGAACAATACAACGACACCTACTGGTAGTATGGAAGAGAAATGTACACCAGCAGGTAGCTATAGAACTTATTTAAGCAAACATCCAATGGCAATTAACTGTTTTGGGCTAATAACTTCGCCAGGAGATAGGTATCAATATATATATATACTCAGCTGAAAGAAATGTTTTAGTAAATTTAATATTTTTTAGGACTATAAGATTATTCTTTGTGGGGGTTGCAAGATAACATCTATTTTTAAAGTTACTTGAAATTATTACTGCCCTACATCGCAGTTTAACCCTGGTTAATAGTTTTTTGTTTTCCAAATATTCGAGCAAAACTACTAACTGTCTCAGTATTAGCCGTCCCTAATTTTAAGCTGATAATCTAGAAATAAGGCAGTTAGTAAACAGCATCCACTGCTACTCTTATCTGACCAAATAGTAGGATTTGACAGCCACTCTTATAACGCACCCACGGCCCCAAAGTGGTTAGCGTGCCCAGGTCTGACACGCTGGCTACTGAGCCACCTGGTCAGTAGAAAGCGACCACGTATACATATATATCGACGTTATTATCTTGAATTGCGACAAACCAGCAAGCTGGAATAGCATAATGTTAACTGGCAGAAAAAGAAAAGAATATGATAGGAAGTGATTTATAAGTTTAGATGAGGTATTTCTTTCAAACTGAGGTTCTTATCAAGGGAGGAGTCGCTCTGTACACGAGATTAGGAACTACGTGTAACATCCATAACAAAAACAACGTTGGTTATTGGAAAACTTATTCAGATATGATAATATACATTGAAAAGTTAGATATAGTTCAAGTTTTTATTTTCTATTTTTAAGGATTAGAATAAACAGAAATGAATTACAAAACACTAATATATATATATATATGTGTGTGTGTGTGTGAGGTTTGTAGATTCTTAAGGTGTATTTCAAATTTTCGAATAGTTACAAGTTATTAGAAACGAAAATTGGAATTAACTAACTAATCATTGGGAGTTTTATAAGTTAATTTTATTCGTTGCTACCCTTCATACTTGATAGATCGTTACATTTAAAAATCACTTCCCGACGGCTGAGCGGTAAGCCGCTAATACGGTTCGATTCCTGCGATGTGCACAACGCAGATAGCCCATTGTGCAGCATGCGCTTAAACAAACTTTACATCTACAAAAGTAAACACTTGTGCTAACTTATGCGAATTTACTAAGACAGTTATTGTTGGTTGATTGTTAAGTGCAAAGATACACAATAGGTTATCCGTGCTCTATCCACCACGGGTATCGAAACCTGATTTTTAGACAATTATGAAATCTGGAGATTGCTTTACAATCGATATTAGTGACTGCTAGCGATGTTGTTTCCTTTACTTCTTTATAAGATCTAAAGAAAACTGTTAATTTATTGTTTTTGAAAGATCAAGTTTAAAGTGATTTGGAGCGTGTAAATCCTGCTTTATATGATTAGGACTTAAAACGCTAAAAACCGGGTGGGCATAACACTGATAGCCCATTGCGTAGCTTTGCGCATCACAACAAACAAATAAACGTTTATCTACAATATGACATATTTCAGGTTATCTCCCGTTGGCTCAGCGATATATTTGAGGGTTTACAATGCTAAGTTCGGGGATCGATCCCTGTTGAGGGTACAGCTCAGATAGCTCATTGTGTAGCTTTGCATTTAAAACAAACAAGGACAGTTAGCCCATTGCGTGGGATTAAAACAAACAAGGAAACAATTATTTCAAAGTTAGTATTGCTGTTAGGCCTACTACTGATTATAAGGATAATGAGTGGGAGATACGGTTTTAAGCACAGTGTTTTATAAGCACCTAAACGCTAATCTTTTATGCTTAACCGATTACATCAGAATAATCGAAGCTTTCTCACAATGTGTCCCCCTCGTTCTATGAGTCAAATCCCCACTTGTAACTTTATTTTTACAATTTATCCGTAGTTGGTTTAAGGTGCGATATTCATGTTTACTGCGATCTGTGGAAAAAAAGAAATCAAGTATCGTAAAATGGAGATTGTGAAAATGTGAGGTACAGTAGTCAAGAGAACACCGACTACAAAAGAAAACAACAAAAATAAATATCACAAATGAACAAATAAAACAACAACTTTATTAACAATAAAATGTATCAGTATTTAACAAGAATATCAAGGGTTGAAGAAAATAATGGAAACATCTGTTAATTTCAGCGTTTTTATTTATTTGTTAATATGGAGTTGTTCCACCACAAGTTGACAGTACAGTATTATACACGAT